GGATTCCCAGTTTCTAGCCTGGTGCCTTAACCATTTAACCACTTTACCACTCCGTAAAGAAGAGATAATTCAGCAGAAGGTGACCAAGCCAAGTGAGACAAGCCCAGAATTTCTTTGCAATTCATCCATGATATTTCTGATGCCGGGGGGGGGGGGGGACTCTCCAGTAACACCTGTTGGGAAATGTTGCTTCCAAAGAGTCTGGAAGGGTCCTGCTGATCAGAGCAGGAGATACAGGTTTCCTACATGGTCTGCCTGACATTATTTTTCATCCCCCACAATGATTTTTTAAAAAATTCTTTTAATTGAAATTAGATAAGAGGTTTTTATTCCAGTGATCTCTCTCAAAGCTGCCAATATGCCAGAAAAGCCTAATATTGGTCAGTTTGTGTGGCCTGTATGGAGTTCTGTACAGATAATGGGCTACATAGATGCTTCAGGCTTTGGAGAATTTATCTGCAAGGCTGCCTTTGAGATATTCCACTCCCAAGGTGGGGTGAAGAGAAGTTTGGCTTCTCCCTGCAGCACTCTAAGAACAGAAGTTGCATAGGCTTTCCCGTGTAGGACAGCAAAGAGGCCTGAATAAGACAATACGTTAGAAACAGAAGGTGCCTGAGGTAACACTTGCAATAAACTGTTCTGAGAGATTCTGGAACTGAAATGAGGTTGAAATAAAAAGCACAGCCAGTACGCTGGACTTTATGCAACTTGATTTTGCTAGGCATATATATCTTTTTCTGATCCATCCATTTGTAAAAGTTTTCATTTGCAAATATTTTATAGATCTCACAAATAAGGTAAGTGACATGGAGCACCCTCTCCGAATACTTGTAGAGGTGCTGCTAGTCAGAGTGGATATATAAGGTAGATCATTTTTATATCCAGGGGTACCCTTCCTTTTCCTACCCCTACATGGGGCAGAGAGATCCTACAAAAGGACAAGGGAATTTAGGGGGAAGAAGATGGATTTTCAGGATTTGGGGATGCTGGTCTTAGTTTACTTGAAGTCCTAGCATGTTTGTTTCTTTAAGGGGACCATTAAGGGAACAGGGAGTATATAACATTTCTGGATGAATAAGGCAGGAAATGATGCTGCCAAAATTTGCAAAATTTTGGTAGTACAGATCTGGAGATCTCCAAGGAGGGGAAAAGTAAGGACTATGTGAACATACATAGTACGATCATCATTGCTTTTAGACAGTGTGGCTGTAGTGAGATTTGATGCTGAATTTCTATCCATTCTTTCCTATTAATATGTGGCTGTTCATCAATGAATGTAGTTTCAAGGCTGCATTTGTGGAATAGGCATTGAAGCTCAAAATGTCTGCATCATCATCTCTAACTAAACCAACAGTTTTCAAAGGGAACTGTTTACGTCGTAGCTGCAGTCCATTCATTAATGAGACAATGATAAACCTGGCTGTGATTCAGCCTTCCCTCAGTGGTCACAAGTGAAGTTAGGTAGAATGGTAAAGGCCAGTGTAGTGCAACTTATGACCATGTGTGCAGCTAAATGGATGAGAAGGACAGAGGTAGCCTTCCTCAATCTGACTCCTTTTCCCAAAATTCCCATCTAGCATGGCCAGTGCCTCTGCTGGGCAGCAGTTCTGAGGGTTTTGTAGTCCCAACATATCTACAAGGTGCCAGACTGGGAAATGTTGCCTTAGTATTTAAGCAATGGATGACTTGAGGAAAAGTACAGATTCTGGTTTTCTCCAGAATCCATTAGAGCCATTTCACACATTGCCCAAAGTTTTATTTGTTATCCAGTGAACTTAGGTGTCAGTGTCCGTCAGCTCTTTGAGGTAGGCAAGGTCAAGAAACAGGAACAGCAGGTGTTCCAGGAATGTTCTTTATTGTAGTAGGGTGGAATAACAGAATCTTGAAAGCCTGTCAAAGTTTCTCTGTGCCCCATTTTATATTAAACAAAATCAGGGTGAGGTTATTTTGAGTTTCCTTTCTTATTGCCAAGATAAGATCTACATTCCTTCACAACCCCATTGTCAAGTATAGGGCAACCTATGCCCCTGATGCCAGGGCTCACCTTTAAAAATGTAGATGGGACTAGTAGCTGCCATTTTAATTCCCCACAATTCCTCCAAATAGATGCTATGGTGGGGGCCTTAAGGGAAATTCAGAGCATTACTGACACTAAGATAGGAGTGGACCAACCAGAAGGCATGTTGCTAAGAGCCTTTCTTCTGCTCCCCCCCCCCCGCCCCCAGCTATTGGCTGGTATATCAAACAAGAAAAATAAGGGAAGTAAAATTCTGTCTCAGAATTCCCAAGTACCGATAGACAGTCTTACTGGGTGTTCTGGCTGCACCAACAAAAAGGCTGGTCAGCTTCCAGCAAGTACCAAGCTTTCTAGGTCAGAAGTTTAAAAGGGAAGCTGACAGGGAGCTTCCATTTCCACTGCAGTTTGGAGAAACCTGAACAAGATAGGGACAGCTGCAGTTAAAAAAAAAAAATCTTCCCTTCTTCCCACAATTCAGGATGTAATAGAGAAATAATGTAAGGGAATAGAATAAAGGGGCTAAAGGAAGAAAGGTACTGAGCAAGTTCAAATCCTGAACCTGTCTAAGAGGCTTGGGCAACTCCTGCTCCTTAGAAGCAACTGCTGTCTTGTGTACATCCAGCAGTGGGAGGTATATACCATCCCAAGTCTAGGAGTGCTTTCTGTCAATCTCTGGAGAGCCTGAAGATAGCTTTACCTGCCATATGCCAAGAAATATAAACAGTGCTTCTTAATCAGAGTCCCTTCTTGATTATAGCAGCGGCAACATACCAAAATGATAATTCTATTAGCATATTCTTTGCCACAATCAGGCAATTTTTCCTTTCTTTTCTGGTGAGAAAATTCTCTCTGGTCACTTATGACCTTGTCAAGATTATATGGTGGTTTCCTCCACTCCCTGTATATTACATCTGTAGACAGAAAACATAAAATGCATTTGTTCCTCCTATCTCCTTAACTCTGCCTCCAGTAGGCTCAGTAGAGACTTTTAATCAACGCCTTGGATTAACAGGATTCTGCACCAGGGGAGAAGAATGAGATGTTGTTGTTGTTGTTCACACAGTCAGCCAGTTGTTTAGACTGGATTTGACATTTTTGTCCACCTTTTGAGTCCTTCCCAAGGACCTGGGATAGGCAGATGTTGTTTGATGGTGTTAAAGGTATCATCACAGGATGTAAGCTGTTCTGAATTAAGCTGCCTTTGGCAATTGACTGATGGTGCTTTTGTCAATGCCAACATTATTATTATTACTCCACCCACTCCAGAGGACTCTGGGTGGCGATCACTTCAGGAGACAACAAGCTATGTCTTTTCTGGCAACCATTTTCCTCACAAAACCAATAATGAAATGTTTGTGAGGAGGGACCTTTAGTTCAGACATACCTGTACACAGATATTTTGTGTTGGGAGGCATTTGAGAACTGGTTGGGACACTCTTATAAAATGGCTGCCATCAGTTGAAATGGCCAGTCACCAAAACACACCCATTTACTATAGGACAAAGTACTTCCATGCCATCCCAGTTTAATGTTGTCTTTTTTTTAAGGTAAGTAGATAAATATCTTGAAAAAGAACTTGGCTGAAGTTCACCATTATTTTTATTTTCCCAGAATCCCTATGGGGCTCATTTATGGCTACCATATCTGGGCTGCAAAGATCCAGATAATCATTGAGTCACAGCAGAGAGATAACAAAAATCTTAATTCTTTGCTGCCATCAAGTGGTTGTCTGGTTTTTTGCAGCCCATATGTGGTAGCCCTAGTCCATAACTCACTCTCTCTCTTTCTCTGAAATCTCATTCATGTATGTATGTTTTATTTTACACAAAGATTTCAATAATGACACTCATCTTTCATTATAATCCACCATACATAGTCTATATCTGTAAGCAATTCTTTCATAATTGTAAGTATCAACTCTTTGGTCTATTCAGTCTATGGCCTTCAGAAACTGAGGGCCATAGTTTGTCTTTCCAACATTGAAGAACAAGTCTCATAGCAGTAAGAGGCTGGTGTTTTGCACAGCAGTATTCCAGCTTTCTATATTTCTAGTGGTTTCATTGGCTCCTGACATAATTTCCTTTAGTGGATCCTCTCCTACACATATGCCACCTTCCTTTCAAACTTTCTGATACCTATACCTTCATTTGGCACTGAGTGACATTAGAAATTTCTCACAATGCTCTTGATGCACTATTTCTTAAGAACGTTGTGAGAAATTAAAATGGGAACCTTTAGGGAGGGCATCAGCCTGAGAGTACACCACAGTGATGCTAGACCTGGCCTAAACACTAAACAGTAAAGGAGATTATTACAGGCATACAGTTGCAAAGTTTCTGCAAAGTTTTTATCTACTGGTACATTTGGGTGACCATATTTATGCTGAGGACCAAAATTCTTACTAAGTTTTGAAGTTCTTGTCAAGTTTCATCCATTTCCTAATTGTATTTGTCATTTTAATTTTACAGAATAGTGATTCTAAAATAGAAGTATCATAAAATTTCAAGTCAATAATATCAGCAAGAAAAGAGTAATTATGAAAAGCCATCATAGTTCAAAACATCATCAAATTTGTCAGGAAATGCTTTTAAGTATAACAGAATAATTATTACCTGGCAAGTTAATCTGCCTTGGAAAACTGTTCTGCAGTCATATGATAATTTAAATCCACTTTACAAATTCACACACAGAGATTGCAGCAAGATGGTAGAACCAACCCCCCAACTTAAGAGAGGACATGTATCCTTAGAATAGTTCATTCCAAGCAAGGGAATTAAATGGCTGAAGGGGCAAGGCCCCTTTGCTTAGCATTTCCAACATAGCTGCTTTTTTCTCATTTCCTTCGCTGCAATATGAACTTACAGGAAGCAGCTGCCATGTTGCTAAGGATGAAGGTGAAGAGATGGCCTCTTTTGTAAGTTGCTCCTTTGCCAGTGTAATACCTACCAAGGCCATCTGTTGCAGGTATGGATTTTCTCACTCTTGCCAGTATTAACAACTAACCTAGATCTCTTCCCCTGCTTTTATTTTTTGTAAGCCTTAGCTAGACAACACAGAGTGCTTCTTGATTTCTTTTCTCCTTTGGATATTTTGCCTGCTTTTCTTTTCCACCCACTGCTACAAGTAAGATTCTAGTTTTGCCCCATGGTAGCTACAAAAGGAATATGTAGGGCAGTGTTTCTCAGCCTTAGCAACTTTAAGATGTGTGGACTTCAGCTCCCAGAATTTCCCAGCCAGCAAGTTCACATATCTTAAAGTTGCTAAGGTTGAGAAACACCGATGTAGAGGTTGAGGTGAGATGGAAGGAGGTGTTCTAAACTAACACTCCTTCAGTTGGAACATTCAGTCACAAATGTTGCCAGAATTATAACAAAACAAGGGAAATGCTAAGCCTGCTTGGGAAGTCAAAGATGCTGAGTAGAAGTTCCTAAGTACAACACAATTGTTTAAATGTTTTTGCTTCAGTTAAGATTTTGAGCGGGGGGGGGATGTTCTCTAAGTATTTTTTTACTAGATGACTTTCCCCGTTTGTAAATGTTTTGGTTGCCAATCATTTGTGTGCTGTTCAACGTTGGATGGTGATGCTGTCACAAGTTATATTTAAATGTCACCAAGGGCATCCATGGGGGGGGGGGGGATAAAAATAATCAAGATGGGGCCTGGGAG